TAAGAACCACTGCTAATTTCTTCTTTATTAGTGAACTTTGCATAATCGTAGTTTTTGATATAGTCTTCTGATATTGCCTTTTCTAACCATTCAATGTAAACGGTGGGATTATTGTCGGTTTTCATATTTAAAAGTAAAAAGAAATTTTTTTTTTGCAAAATACTAATCCGTGTACCAAATACAGTAACTTATTTATAATTTAGTAACACAGAGTGGTTGGCGTTTGCTTATTTAACACCGATCTCCAATATTACACATGTACCAAATTTTAATCGTTCACATGTTTGGTATCATGATCGACATTCAACTAATTCACATAAGCTTGCCTCCGATGTTTTTTTTTAAAAACCGCACTTTCAAATTCCTAATTCGCTGAATAAATAAAGGGAGTAACATTATATGATGCTCTTCTTTACAGAAACTAGACTCATAATTATGGCCGGCCAGGGCCGGCCTTTATATTTGAAAGTAACATATGTATATTATTTAATTAATTTGCTGGTATATGTAAGTAAGTACACCTGTAATGTTACGCCTAATATGTTGCTATATTATGTGGCGCGTCTAACTGTAATTTTGATCGTCAACAAAAAAATTGACTACCAAAAATTGATTTTTTTTTCGACAGTTTTTTTCAGTAATTGAAGTATTTAGTTCTTTAGTTTTTGTATTTCTGTATTGATTATATTTTTTGTAAAATAAAAAAATAAAATGTAAAGTAAATTTACGGTATTTATGGATTTTATTTATATTGAATTAAAACGTGTAAATATAAAAAAGTAAAACAAAAAAATATGGTATGAATCGCTCTCTAAATGCTAACTATAAATGCTCTCACTACGATTGTAGTCCACCAGCCTAATTCTAAAGCTGAAGTATCTAAAGTAATACTTCAATTTGGCCATTTATTCAATACATTCTTGCTCTAAATAAGCTCATTTTCGCCTATTTTCCTCTTTTTCCGGGCTGGAATAGCCATAGGGTCACAAAATTTCTTTTCCTTTATTATTAGAAATGGCTTGAACTCGTATGTTAGCACCACTTTTTACACGAATCATTGGTCCAGATCACGATAGAGGCCATAAAGGAAAAAGGATAATCGGGTATGGACTTTGACTTTGCAGCGTTATAACAATATTTAAATTTTCCAGTACAATTCGTAGCGTTTGACAAGAATATTGATAATCAAATTTAACTACTTCTAAAGAAGTAAACTCAGAAATATCAATTTCTTTGTCCTTCTTACTTGGTTCACTACAAAAAAATCATCAAAAATCATAAAAACATTGCGATTCTTGTAATTGATTGATGAAACAAAAAATCTTACACTCACTTGGTAGTCAAAGTATTTGTTGATGGTCTCATTTCAGTGTGTAAAATTTGTCTCTTTAGTTGCATAAAAAGACTTATCTTCAGCAACATAACATGAATATAATTAATTTCCAATTTTACTATTTGAAATAGCGAATTTGCCAAATTATTACTTTCTTACTTACCAAGTGCTATATGAGCATAAATCATGTCATGCGATTCATCTGTGTTAATGATTGAATAAATGAATAAAATGAATATTTATTTTTTATTATTATTTTGGTTAGATCAGTTCTCTCTCTTAGGCCAAGAACCTTCGAACTGAACTGATTAGTTCGTCACCACGGCGAAGGTAAACCATCATTAATTTTTTACTCTTTTTTTTTAGTTTATATTTATTTTATTTATTTATATTTTTTTTTTATAATATTTTATTTATTCTTTTATTTTTTTTTAGGTTTGATCGGTTCCCCCACTTTGGCTAAGAACTGGACGGAACCTTCGAACGGAACCGACCAGTTCGTCACCGCGGAAAAGGTAAGCCGACTTGAATTTTTTTTTATTTTTTATTTTTTAATATTTTTATTTATTTATTTATTTTTATTTATTAATAAATTATTATTTTAATATTTTTTTTTATTTTTTTTTATTTATTTAAGTTCTCTTAGACTAAGAACTGGTTAATTAAGACGGGATGAGAATTCTAATGCAGCTGTCGATGTGATGATAAGGTGAATACTTTATCTAAATTGCATATTTTGAATATCTATTTACTTTAAAAAAAAAAAAATAGCTATCTTTGTATAATATTAATGATGATACATGATGAGAGGTATTCTTTAATTTAAATTTATTTACTAAGAGTTTGTAGCTACATTATTCATTTTCCTTATTTTAGAATACTACAGGTATTACACTTCGGCCGTTCTGTATTATCGTGTACGGGAAATTTGATGCATACATACAGTATCTCATATTTTATACAATAAATCTATGGTAATCCAAGCATGAACCGATGAAATAAAGATTAAAATCAATGTTTTAAATTTTTACTGTGTATTTTAATAATGAATTTGTATATATTGAAAGAGACAAATAAAAAAATTTTTTGTTGAAAAATACATCTAAATATATATAAATAATGTTCTGAGAATTGGACAAGAGGATTCAAGAATTGAATATATGATTCGATACGATAAAATATGACTTTTATTCAAAATAAAAAATGCAATTACGATTATGAGATATGTAAGATTTTATTTTATTTTATTATATTTTTAAAAAAATATATATATAATATAAAGTAATTGATTAATAAAAAATAATTAGGATATCAAAATGGCTTAAAGGCATTGAAATCCCTGGTATATGTAATTTTTCCAAGGTTAATTTACAGCATAAACTATTATTTTATTTAATTTTTTAATTTCCAAAATACTATATAAAATTATTTAAAAAAATTCATTTTAAAACAATTCTAGTTCTCTCTTTAATGATTTTCTTACTTTTGATAATAAAGAAAATGTTTAGGTACTTATATTTCAATAAACTAATAATATTAATATTACATAACAATTAATTCTTAGCATCGAATTTCGTTCGCAGGCGCAATAATATTGCGATTAAATATTAATAATTAACCAAACAATCATTTTTTAGTTTAAAACATATGGGGGCTAAGCTATTAAAATCACCTTACGGGACCCCACCAACTAAATTTGAGATTTTTGATTCATATTATTAT